TTACCTCTGCATGCTCACACACACACACACACACACACACACACACACACACACACAGAAAGCCATGCTCGCAGGAACACGCATGCTCTCTTTCTTGCACACTCGCTCTCATGCAAGCCACTGCTCATTTCTAGTGGTGGTTTGTCGGACATGCAGGAGTGGGGAATGAGGACAGGGGAGAGAAAAGGTTCCTAGCTTGTAAAGGGAAGAGGGTAGGCGTGTGTTTAAGTGTGTGAGTGTGTTGAGGGAGAGGTCTTAGTTCAGCTGCCATCTCCTGCGATATTTCTTCTCTTCATCACCTGCCGGGGATGAAAGAAACACGCTATTTAGAATACATGACAGCTAGTGCGATCAGTCTATAGCTACGAGTTTCTACTGGAGAGAGAAGAAGGCATGAAGAGGTTGGAAATAAGAGTACCTTTTCACAGAAGGTGAGATAAAAAGAATTTAGGCTGAATTAGAAATGCAGGAGAGAAAAGAGAGCAAAAGAGACTTGTCAGAATAATCTGATTTTCAACATTGGAAGAACATTCATGGTTTGAATAAACTTCCTTAACCCTATATATTTCAGACTCATAACATCTGACTTTTTATGGGTTGATTAATTGGAAAAGTGGAACAAAAAGCCTCAACATACCATCTAGATGGTTTCTGGACATATATTTCAGTGCCTCATCCAGGAGGATGACAGGGATGGAAATCTTCAGCACCACAATCCACTGATACCAGTGCAGGGGGGTCACCTGGAAGATCAGCTGAAAGACAGACGAAAATTAAAAAGTCAGAAACTCTTATAATAATGCATCGGATGGTAGACAGAGATACAGTAGACACTGGCAATGAAGCATTTTCTATGGTGGTCCTGACAGCTCAACGCATTGCAACTTAAGAAAATAAACACAGGCAAAAAGTAGACAAAACACAACTTATGCACAGCATATAGAAAAAAAAACTAAGAAAAAACCAAATACAGAAGTGCTGCAGTTGCACGGAATGAAACAAAGTTACAAAACAGGAGACGCCAATAAGCCAAATTTAGTAACCCCTGGGAACTGTTGTTTTGTAACTCATGTGCTCTACAACTCATAGGTGTTCTATATTTGGTTGTGTTTTCTTTATGATGCTACATCTTTGTCCATTTGGTTAAGATATTTTCTTCATTTGCTTGTGCTTTGACTGTTTGCCAGTCCCTCCAGGAAATTGCGATGTTGCAATAGCAACAATGAATGCAAACCTTAAATTTTGTCCAATCACCACAAATGTTCTGCAAATCTAACCAATCGTTGTGGCCTCCTGTACAAAAAGTTGAGCCATATGTCAACAAACTCACTTCCTTGTTTCTAGTTGTGTCCAAACAGTGTGATTTTAAGCTCACTGGTACATTTGATTTTTAATTAATATTGGAAAAAAGAAGCAATTTTCACTTTCTTACACAAAAAAATGCCTAAAAACACAGCAACACACAGCAAAACTGCTGCAACAATTCTAAAAGAACCATCCAAATCCTGGAGGGACTGGCTTGCATTTGTTTTCCCAAGTTGCAATGCGCTTTTTTGGTCATGTGAAACAACTCACATATCAGCATTGTCAGAGACTGTCAAGCATTTGGTCCATGATCCATATGTACTATCAGTATGTATTTTTCACTCACTAGGCTCACTGACAGTCTACAAGTGTCCTGCAGATAAGTACTCACCGGCAAAGGCTCAACGTAGAGGATTAAGAAGTGGAGGGAGAGGGAGAGGATGATTGCTCCCAGCAGCCAAACATTGACCCAGGGTGGCATCCTGACCAGGGACTGGTTCTCAGACAAACTGGCGGGAGAAGTTTTAATAGATCAAAACGTGTTGACAATTTATAACTAACTTCACATTCGGTACTTGGAAGTTATTCTATTATGTTGAAAAGATCAAATGATTCTGCTCAGCTAACAGACTTTAAGATTGTATTAGTTTATTGTAAGAAACACAACTACATTACAACTGAAATATGCCACGACTTTATTCAGTCTTGGAGAGACTGAGTTATATGGGTGATAGCAACCACGTAAACATGTGTCTCCCCTGACAGTTTTACTGACTGTCCTGGCTTGAGATGACATTTTCATTGGTCAGGAAGCTCTTTATTTGAACCTTTCCTTTCTCAGATTCTTTCCTAAACGAGACATGAACATTTGTTTCTATAGGGAGCTACTGACAGACTTGCTCCATGAGCAATCCTGGCAAAAACATGAGGAGTTTTCCCTTCATACCACTGTTCCTTTTATTTTCTGCCTCCCCAAATAAGCATTATTCCATTTCTTAAGATGTCTGGTTAAGCTTGATTTCTTTGCCACATTCCCCAAATGCAGAATATAAAATATATGGGCATTATAAACAGCAACACTGAGTCCTTCAGCAGTGAAAAGAGTGATGGATGTGTTTTTCTGGTATGGAAAGAATGCTGTTATCCCTCACACAGCTGTGTAATTATTTCTCAAAGGGAGTGCTGTCTTGTTGGATGACAGTGTCTTCTTTTTAATAAATATCTGACAGCCGTGACATTTAAGGACCATTTAACCGACATCACAACAGAAGATGACTGACCTGTTGAGCGCGTTGAACATTTCGATAGTGACCAGCACAGACAGGGCCATGGTTGTGGGGTAGCGGGATTCAAACACCTCACAGTCTATGTTCTCGAACATGGGGTTGGCCTCAGTACACTGCATGAAGTGTCTCTGTAGAGGGAGACGGAGAGGAGTCAGTGTGTGTGTACGTGTGTCTGCGTTCGCATGTGTGTCAGCAGGATGTCACAGAGACCTCTGCGACCTGGTTTGATGGGGCTCAGATCTGATGGGGGAACAGCTGCAGAACCTTGGCCTTGTTCCCACCCCGTGCTCAATCAAACCACATGGGTCTTACTTCCTTTTCTATTTCTGTACACTGCTGGGATGCCCGAGATCACTGTGTCCAACAGCAAGGAATGTAAAGAAAGGGTGTACATATCAAAATATGACATAAAAACCCATATATTCTGAGGAGGGGACTGTGCTGCATCAAATACAAGAAGACATACTGGGCAGAACAATATTTTGCAACTCACCAGCTGATAGAAAGATACTTGTGGGCCATCTTCATCAAACAGGTACCACCATGTGGCAGCACCCACTGTTCCAAGACCCACATATCCTACAGGGAAAACAGACAGACATATGTATACATCAGATACCAACTGATAAGATTTGTCACAGACAGAAATTCCAAACAAAAGTAATTTTAAGATCTTCTATTGACACAATTTGAATCAAAAGTTGTCATTAAAATAAGAGATAAGGCATGTATGTGTCCGGTATATTTCGATGGAAAACAGAAGGAATATGTCTCATACTGTAATTTACATATTGTTAATAATGTTAATATAATGGAAATATTCAGAATTTCTGTGTTTCATATATGCTAATATTATTATTCTTTTGGTATGGTAATATTACTTGTGTGAGACCTATAATATAACCCTATAAATACTATGACATAATCACACACTGATTCTTAGTGGCCCAGCAGGTCAGAGCCAACACTACCTCCAATGGCCAGATATCTGAAGAAGAGCCAGCCAGAGATGAGAGGCTCCTTGGGGTTGCGAGGAGGTTTGTCCATGATGTCCAGGTCTGGGGGGTTAAAGCCCAGGGCGGTGGCAGGCAAGCCATCCGTCACCAGATTCACCCAGAGCAGCTGGACTGGAATCAAAGCCTCAGGGAGACCCAGGATGGCTGTCAGGAAGATGCTGGAGACGGACAGTGAGAAGACACACAAATATGAGCTGAGGACTTCAGACTGAAGGTGCTCCCACATGGTGGTTGTATGAAAGTGCGATTTCTCACCAGACGACTTCTCCCACGTTAGAAGAGATGAGGTATCTGATGAACTGCTTCATGTTGTTGTAGATGGCTCTGCCCTCCTCCACAGCAGCCACTATGGTGGAGAAGTTATCATCTGACAGCACCATCTCGGATGCTGACTTGGCCACGGCAGTGCCGGAGCCCATGGCGATGCCAATCTCCGCTTTCTTCAGGGCCGGGGCATCGTTCACACCGTCTCCTGTCTGTGACCAGAAAAGACTGATTGAGCCATGAATACATCAGAAAACCTCACACTAAAGGACTGTATTTGAGTTTGTGATTATGTGAACAACCCCAAAAACATTACAATAGTAGTGCATAGCATATGCACAAAAACCTCAAACATTTATGAAGCTGCAACATTAAAGCTGCAGTAGCTAACTTTTATAAAAGTTACCTGCTGCAGCTTTCAGTGTAAAAAGGCTGATTTTGTGCAACACTATTAAAGAACGAATTTCAGGTAGCAGAGGAATATTTTGTAGGAGCAGAAAGATGAATAATCTTTGAAGAATAAAAGTTCAAATAAAGTGTTTGGCACACACAAACGAGCCCTGTGTCTTGTAACAAAAAAACACAAGTGAGGTTTTTGTTACTACTCTTGCCTCAACTTGTATATCCCTAAAATATTGAGCCCAAATGTAATTTTTAGGGAAAAGTATTCTACAAATTGAACTAACTAACTAACGATGATTAAAAAAAAAGGAAAGCTCTAATGAATCTCATTATATGAAGGCTCATTATCGTTTCAGATCCAGACAGGATTAAGCTAAAGCTGAGCAAGTGAGATATATTTATCTGTCACGGCAGGGTCTGATGCAGCTTTGGGCAGCAGTGAATGGTGGAGTTAAGTCTGACAGACAAATGGCGATATTGTTGTCTCCCTTCCTCCCATCTTTCCCTCGGATCAACCCCTCTTCTGAGACGTATGTCAAATGGGAAGCAGCAGAGCGAGCCAGAGATGACAGCTTTTGATAGCAGTGTCTGAGAGAGCAGCCTCAGAGAGACCTGAAACATGTCACGCCTCACTGGCCTCCTCTCATGCAATCTCCACAAGTCATCCACATAAGGCACAGCCGAAAGAAAAGAGTGATGCATTTTTTGCTTCACAACGGGCATAAAAAGAGATATGACAATAACATTTTACAGTGGGTGGATTTGTAGAAAGCAGAGAAAAGTGTAAAAGTTGAAGGAGTTGGGTGGGTGGGTGCTAGTGTAAGGAAGAAGAAGTAGGAGGAGTCATCATCCCTTCTTCCTCACCATGGCAGTAATCTCATCGAATGATTGCAGGTATCCCACAATCTTTGACTTGTGAGCCGGCTCGACGCGGGCGAAGCAGCGCGCCCGTTTAACGGCTTCTCTCTGGGCCTCCGGCGGGAGATCGTCAAACTCGCGGCCTGTGTAGGCCTTTCCTGTCACGTCCTCATCCTCGCCGAAGATGCCAATGCGCCTGCAGATGGCCACAGCCGTGCCCTTGTTGTCTCCTGTGATCATGATAACACGTATACCTGCCTCGTTGCATAGTTTCACCGAACCGATCACCTCCTTCCTGGGAGGGTCGAGCATGCCAACACAGCCAACAAATGTGAGACCCAGCTGAATGGAAACAGAGAAAAAAAGAGAGAGGGATTAGGTTGCACAGGACTATATCAGAGAACAGAATCTCACTTCAGCTTCACAGAAATGGAATTCACCTCTTTTTATTTGTGATGCTACTGAAAACATCAAACAGATTACTTTCTACAAAACAAAGGAATATTTCCAGGGAAGAAGAACCGAGTGTAAAAGCTTTATCCTTTAACTGGATAAAGAAAAAAGATAGACAGCAGCAAAGATAACACGAAAGGAATAGTTTGACCTTTTGGGAAATATGCTCATGTGCTTTCTTTTCTAGAGTTAGTTAAGAAGATCGATACCACCGCCATATTTGTCCATTAAATATGAAGCTACAGCCAGGAGACAGTTAGCTTAGCTTAGCATAGAGACTGGCTCACATATTAACATGTTATCAAGAGCCCAAGAGAAACTAAATTCTCAGCTCTGTTCCAGTAAGAAAACCTCATTCAAAATTGTATTGACACTTGTAATATTGAAGTTAACAAAAGATCCAAATGCGAGTTAGCTCTTTAGAGTTTACAATTTAAAAGTTGGAAAAATTAGTGTTGGTGAATTTTTTTCATCTCTCTATAGCTTATTTGTTTAATTTGTGCAAAAACCTACTAAACTAACACCTAACTAACTTGTATGGATTAAACAACACATTATAACCTGTTAAAGACGGATTTCTTTTACCCTTGGACCTAGCTGGGCTAGCTGTTTCCCCCTGCTTCCAGTCTTTAAGGTAAGCTAAGATACCTGGTTGCTGGCTTTGAGATTATATGAGTTACCACAGTTTGCTACTGTACCTCATACTGTACAAATTTGGTGGAATTCTCCAAGTCCATGTCCTCTTTGCGTGGTGGAGTGTCATGAGTGGCCAGCGCCAGGCAGCGTAAAGTGTCCCTGCCTGTCCCCCAGTCCCTGATCTTAGACATCAGCTGGTCACGCAGGCCTGGTGTCAGCGTCACCTTCCCGGTTCCCACGCGCAGGTACTGACACCGCTCGATCACACTCTCAGGAGCACCCTGTGAGGAGGAATTGTATTAGCAAATGAGAAAAACAAATGAGAAGAACATAAAGCAACAATGGCAAAAAAAAAAATGGAAGTGACGAAAAGCACGTCTATCTTTGTGATTGTATTATTCATTCATGCCTTGATGAACATCTTGCTTTGGGAGCCCGGCTTGACGGGGGTGCAGTACACAGACATGGACTTGCGGTCACGAGAGAACTCCAGCGTGAACTCCTTCTTCATCAACTGCCTGATCACCTGGTTGGTGAATGAAAAGAAGGGGAAAATATAGTAGGAATGACAAATAATAATAATAATAATAACATGAAAGAGTGAGCCAGAGAGACAGTGCTTGAGGTAGGCAGCTGCATTCGTGGACAGCTGTCAGGCTGGCAGCCAGTGGGTGAGTGAGAGGTTAGGCAGTTACTGACAGCTGAAGGATGACACTTCAGACCAAGCACTCAACCATCTTGTCTAGATGTCTGGCTGCAGCCTCATTTAGCAACAACAACTGGAATGATTGAAAAACAATACAAAATGCTAACCAGAAGAACAAAATACTGCAGGCTTACGCTAGGAAAACAACATTTAGCTTAAAAAACATCCTTAATCCTTACATACTTATTTTGTTCATTTAGTCTCAAGTCTCGTTCTGCCAGTAGGTGTCTCTCTAGTTCAGTCTGTGCTGATCCCAGTACACATGAAAGGATGAAAGGTTAACACTGATCACTCCCTCTGCACAGTCAGACTGCTGTGATGTTCACACAGCCTGTTAGGGGACTTCAAACATCTGACGGATGTCCTAAAATCTGTCAATGTGACAAACTCCTCCTCTCCATCAAACAGGGAGAGCAATGGGAGTTTGTCTTGGCATGGCATGCTGGGAAATCCCCCCCCCCTCCCCCTTCTGTTTTTTTAGCTCTATACACCCAGCAAAGATTTGGCAGAATTAAGATAATCTCCAAATCCAAAATTTACAGAGGATGCATGTTATTGTTCAGCATTTAACCATTAAAAACATTAAATGAGACTTCTGCTTCTCTACCCTTCATAAGGCTCATGTCATCTGAGACTTGTTTGTCTCCAACAAGCTTTGTTCTTCCTGGAAGAGAGACCAACAGGGATTCTAATCTACAACAGAAGGGAAAGGCTTGGAACCAGAGGTGACTGACTTCAGCACAGTGGATGACAGACCCCTCGGGACAGGAACGCCAACTACAGCTTAAGGAACCAGGACATACTCTCACACGCAAGTCAGACTCTACGCTTTCCTGCTGACCTGGCATCACCTCAAAAGAGATCAGGTGTTTAATTTGTGATAAGCTGCAAATGTTTTAAATTCATAACCAAACAATCACACCCAGAAGTCAAACATGTGTCAATGACAACTTTAAATAAAAAACTTTTAATAAATAGCCCTCGAGTAAGACACTAAACCCTCATCTTGTTGTAAGTCACTCTGGATGAAATAATACCTAAATGTATCATCTGGCACAAATATGGAGAACATTAGAACATTATGTCATCTGCACAGCCAGACAGTGTACAGTATGCTGTAATTACAGTCTCATTGGCATATTCATGCTGAGAACTGCAAAGCCTGCAGCAGATATGCCAGTTGCTGAAGCAAACAATATGCTCACTGAAATGTATAAAAGAATTCAGATGTGTACTATGCCCTGACAGAGATTTGGGTATGTTATACTAGTAGCGGCTAATGTAGCCTCGAGCTGAGGAGTGGGCTACAGAGGCCTGGCAGGCTCCCCCTTTTTTTTATTTTTATTATAGTCCTCATCAAGTGACATCAGTTTATCACATTTGTGCAGCCCCCACTGGAGCCACAAAAAGCTATAAACCACTTTGTCACAATGCAATAATACTCCCCACCACTTTAGTAAACTTTAATGTGGAAAATCTTACTGAGTTGCAGCTACCGGCACGCTCCACCTTGCTGAGTCCGGACACGTCAGTCTTGAAGACGTTCATCTTCTCCACTAAGGTGGTGAGAGCCGTCTCTGTGGCTTCACCCACCTTCTCATAAACCCCTTTGGCCTACGAGATAAAAGAAATACATCAAAACATGCTGCGGTACGGTTTCTTGGATTGAGAAAGTATGATATAAAAGTGATACGGTAACCATTTGAAAAGTGATTGAGTCATTAAATTCTGACACATTTTAGATAAAGTCTAAGGAGAAACAGCTTACACAAACACACTGTCTCCACTGTTGTGAAATTGAACGACCCTCTTCAGAATGACAGAAGAATGACTTCTAAGCAAATCTGTTGGTCAGTCACCTATGCCTCTGCAAACGTTGAGTGATACATGCAAAGTGTTTTTAAGTGTGTGCCCTTGCCAGCTGAGATGTGAAGAAGGTGAGATGCTGGCGTACCACACATCATTTGTTTGTGTGACTGGACATAGACGGCAACAAAACACCTCGCTCCCCTGCAGCACTCTGCGGCTTTTGCAACCTCTGTCTCTCTCTCCCGGTTTAGCACGCATTGATCTCACACTCGGGCTCTATATTCAAAAATGTACAAAATTGGGGGCAAAACGACCATTTAACAGAGGCTGGGAGGATACATGGGAGTTGAGAAGTGCCCTGGCCTCACTCCTCAGCATAGTTACCATGATACCATGGTGATAACAAAGAGGTGAGAAAAGCAATCCAAACCAGAGAAAAAGATCATACAGAGTAAAATTAGCTCAGCTGAAGAAGAGAAGGCTTTCTGTGTTACGTGTTTGTGTGTTCGTGTTTGTGTTCCAGTTATACCTCTTATGGAGTCAATGCAGTGTGACTATCCATACTGTAAATGCTTGAGGATATTTGCAAAGAAACCTAACCTACACAATGCTGAATGTGTTACAGATGGGTTTATTTTGTATAGGAACTTTAAAAGGATGTCAGGTATAGAAAAGGAAACAAATTCTAACTACACAATTATCTGCATGTGTGTGTGTATGTGTGTGTGCGTGTGAATGCACTTGCAAACCTATCTAACCGTGGACCGGGTCGTCGTAAGTCTCTAGGAGGGAACCAAGAATCCAACAGGGGACATTTTCTTAGGTTTTGTTGGTCATGCTTTAAATAATGTTAAAATCATGTCTAATGCCCTCTGGTGAACTTCTTTTGTCAACTTTTGCCAACATAATAAGGGAGTGTATGTGTGTGCATGTATGTGTATGTTAATGACCTCATTGTAGTCCAGTGAAGAGTCATTGCACATAGAGCACACAGTGGCCAACTCCAAAAGCCCATCATAGTCCCCACACTGGACGGGCCTGTCTCCTTTCAGTCTGGAAGGAAAATACACACAGACACACACAATGTCACTCACAACAGTAAAACACAAGGGAAAAACATAGTTCACTACACCTCAGACGCAGTAACCTCATCAATATGTATGAGTGGGGGAAATATTCAGTTGTTCAGCAATCCAAAGTTGACTGAAGAAACAGTGGTTGTACAGTAGTAAACAGTGTGTGGTGTGTGCGTGCATGTGCATACGTGTGTGTGTGTGTGTGTGTGTGTGCTCATGTAGGTTAGTGTGTGTGTGCACGCACTGGAGCGCCTGTTGTCTTTGATGATAATGAGGCAGACAGAAACAGGCTCTCAAGTGAGCTCTCAATGCCACCTCAAACACATTGCCTCGGCATGGGCATACTATCTGTGTGTGTGTGTGTGTGTGTGTGTGTGCGCGTGCATTTGTGGCAGATAAGAGACCAAAAATCCCAACTCGGTGCTGTTTTAATGAAATTAATCAAAAAGACAGGAAATCGAAACATTTTGTGCTATGTGATAACAAAATGTCATTTTGCTTTCCGGCTATAATTGGCTGCTTTTTAATAAGAGATTACTGTTTGGCCATTTTGCTCTGTGCATAATGGAGTTTTAGTTTAGCTGGTGGCCAAAGTCTCATTGGTTGAGTCAAGCCACACTGAACTAACCATTTGTTTTTAAAAAAAATACAGAGGTCATGAGTCCAAATTTTACCAGCAGAATGCCTTTTTTGATCACTGCTATGAAGAATTACAGAAATATGAATATGCGACTTAAAATAGATTAGACTCTTTTAAGATAGATAGCACAAAATATTCCGTTTGTTCAGGTGGACCAGGTGTTAAAGGGTTAAAAGATAATAGACTGTCTTCCCAGAAAGACTACACAGATCTAGATTTGACTTCATCCATGATCAATTACACGGTCTGGAGAAGATGCATGGGTATATGATGGATGTTTATGCAGAGAAAGATAACAACTCATAATAGCTCCATGATAGGCCTGCACAGCATATAAATTGTATCGGATACACGAACATGGAAGAACTACAAATGAGCAGCTGTGCCTATTCTTAACATCACTTTGCTCATATTAAAGTCGTCTAATTGAATTTGTCTGCAGAGTGATGAAGCACACAAGTGCTCTATAATGGCAAAGTATAAAAGTGAAGACCGACGGGGCCTCGGAGCTCAGCATGAGTGACACTAAAAAACATCACCGTGCACACGATAACAGAGCGAATGGTGAAACAAAATGCCTAAAATGACAAAGAATGACAGAAAGACATATTAAGGTAAAATAACCGAGGCGTGTTGCAGGAAATAAAATCATGACAAAGTCTGGAATCTTAGTAGAAATGATAAAAAGTGTGGAAGCATTAGACCGATCAGTTTGAATGAGATATGAAGCATGCAGCATTGCAGATATAATTAGTTACAGTTCTTGATAACCCCCTTTCTTGCTAATTAAACACCATGTTGCCCTTCAAAGTACACCTAATTTACATTAAATTTACATATGCAGATTTTAATTACATCCACCTAATTACAGTATTTGCTGGTTCATCTGTCATTTAAAGGAGGCCAAGTGATGCGATGTGGGTGTGTGTGTGTTTCTGGTTGCCTGTCAACCTGTCTGAATGTGTCTGCCGAGCTGTCTCCTCAGCTCTCTCTATACATATCTGCCTGATAATGGCGCTGCTTAATGGTTCTTCCATCGTACGGGTATTCGCACAAAATCAAGCGGGTAGTTAAATCCTTGTGTGTTGATTACTAATTCTTCCCCCACCAGTTCATTCGTGTGAGAGGGTTTCTTCTGAAATGTTGTTGTCAGTGAAGAGCATTTTTGATCAGTGAGGTCCGTGTTTTGTGATTTTGTGAATTATGCGAGTCATCACCGCAGGCCTACAAACAATGGCGCCACACCGTTTGAATCCCATTTCCAGTTTTGCTCATCATTTCAAATGCATTCAAACACATGAATCATCATTCTCAAATCATTTTGTGATCTCACGAGTCCAGCTGCCTCACAAGGTTATTGTTAAGGGTGCCTTTTATACCTTTTTAAAATCTTTATTTCACTTGATATTGTTTACAGATGCAGATTCCAAAATAAATTATTCCAATTACCACAAATTAACTAAAACACAAGACACCTAGGGCAGCGTAGTTTGGTTTCTGGAGCTCATGGCAAAATATAACGCTAGGTGCACTCTACCTGATTAGTAGTTAAAGGCAACAGGATACAATAGACGGACAGTCGTTGGAATGGGGGGTCAATAAAGGCCCACAGCTCATTTTACCCAGCTGCCTTTAGCTGATTAAGCTGGTCCTGTTTGTGTCTGTCTGTTTTGGGTTGTGTTATACTACACTGTTTGCCATTTCAACTCATTCAGTACACCCGTTAATAGGATGATAAACAAATGTACTGCCAGCCACTGATGAAATACTCCTTTCAAGCTTCTGAAAAATAATATGTCAGCTTAAAACAACACAAAGCTACTCACTTACTGACTGGCACTTACTTTGAAGGGTTTTATTTTGTTAAAAGTCTGAGCTGAAGCCACTGTACAAATAGCTAAATAGTCTACTATCCTTTTGCCAAGCAAACTCACTCACTTACTGCACATTTTCTGCTGCTGGAATGGCTGATAATACAGTCTGCCCTTCGGTCAACACAAAGGATGAATCGACTTCATTGAAGGGGATCAGGTGTGTATGATTGAGTGTGTGTGCGTGTGTGTGTGTGTGTGTGTGTGAGAGACACTGGTTGGTGGACATTGCAAACCTTTAAGTGAGAGTGGTAATGAATATATTAATACATTCTGGGATGATATCTATTGATGATTTAAGAGTTAATATAAAAATAAACGAGACAGCAGTGTAGTGTAGTAAATCAGCCATCAGTTCAGTCACATTTCCTTTCTATAAATCCTTTATTCAATATCATTGATTTCTGTGTGTATACAATGGATTAGACACAAACTGTACAGTGCAGACAAACTCTGTTTGCATAATATGTATGTAAAGGTAACTGTACATTTACTGACAGACAGAGTAATTTCCTTTAAGGTTAGCACCAGTGACATTTTGCTTTTGGCTCATAGCTAGCATGGTTTGCACTAGCAAGATACAGCAGGTTGTGGTTAGTCTATGACTGTATTTAATGTGTCCGCCACCATCTTTACTTTACTTTATCTACACACATTTTTCCGCACTTACAGTTTCACCTTGAAAAGCGAACATGTAATTATATGTGTGCACTTTATTCTACTAGCCCTGTTCGAAGACCCTCATATCAATGATAAAACAGAGTCGAAAAGCTGCTCCTAACATTTGTACCAGGAATAATGTTAAAAATACAAACTCATAAGCTTTTCAATGAATGAAAAGGTAGGAAAAAAGAATCAGGCCAAGAAAGGTCTTTATTGTTGAAGTCAATATATACCATGAAAACCAAAAATGATGCTTCATTTGTTCCTGGAGTGCAGCTCCTGTGTTGCTGTAGTACAGTTTCTGACCACCTGTGGCATCACTAAGCACACTCACTCCAGTCAGTGAGCGAGGAAGAAAACCTGCACCATCTTTCTTTTGATAGTAATAAAGTGCTGCAGGAATGAATCTTAAAACCCGTTGTTTCGCACCTCCGGTTCCCTCGTCTCGAAATCAGTGGGTTTTTTAAATAGATTTCTGGTTAGAAGCCTGAAATTTTTACGCTTTGTTCTGTGACATAAAATACATCAGTAAATACCCGACCTGTGAGTTTTAAAACTTTTACATGTCACATTAAAAAAGGCGGTTGCTAACAAGTGCTGTAAATGAGACTACAGAGGTTGTCAGAGACATTAAACGTCAGCACGGTGAACACAACATATCACTCACTAGTCCACCTTTCCCCCGAAATTCCACCAGGCACGGTTTTATAACCTTGCGTCTGCGTCGCGGTTTAGCTCAGTGATCCACGTCTTCAAATCCCAACAAGAGCGTTTCAGAACAGCTTATGTTAGCTTTTTACTTCCGGCAATCCCATTTACAGCAAAAAAAATCATAAAAGTGCTGTTCATTTGTGAAGATTATGTTGCTGAACAAAACGTGCAGGTATCATAAACATCTGTTCAGCACAGAGTTTATTTTCTGCAATAATCCAAAATCCAATGGAAAAATCCCATTGGCTTTTTGTCGAAAGAACCAAGGAGACGCTAACTGCTTTTTAAAAATTTTTGCTTTTTATTTTAGAGCCCATACTAACAGATTAGAGCGGCCAAACTGTCCGCCTGAGTCGTCCATAGTCATATCGACATTATACCAGCAATATATACATTTCACTACAGCTTCAATGTCTGTATCAGTAGAATATGCCACAGACATGGAATGTAAATATGAATTTATTTATATAAATCTGTTTATTTCCTGTATCTGTTACAGTTATTAAAAATATGAAATAGCTGCACTAGCTTAACTTTCATCTATTTAAGATGAAATGTATAAACACTCTTCATCTGTGTGCCACTAAACTCTGATTGAAGTTGTGCTATTTTCAGTATGTAATCATCTTTCCTGCATCAAATTGAATTCAGATTAGACTGTCAGTTATCTGACTGCACTCTGGAAGCACTAAGAAAAGTACAAGGCATCATTAATTGCATTATATTGTCAAACTGTGTTGTC